CCCCGCCCCGCCAGCCCTAACGCAACAGTTCCGGGCAGGAGCGTGTCGCGCGCCTCGTTGGCCGCTGACGCGGGTCTGACGGGGTCTGACGGGGTGGCCCGGGTGGCCGCGGGGGGTAAACGAGCGCAAGAGGGATGGACATCCTGCACCACCGTGGCCCGTGGCCGTCGTCGTGTCGCTCGCACTCAGTGGGCGGTCTCGTAACGACGAAAGTCTGACGTGTCGTCGCCCACGCACCCGCGGCGCGCGGAGGACCGAGCGGGCGCATGGGGCGCCGGGCGGCGCAGATAAGGAAAAGACGTGGTTATCTCAGCGCCCCTGCCCCGCCCCGCCGCGCCTCGCGGGCTAGCTCGGGGATCAGGTGGTGGTGGTGGAGATGGAGATCCAGGCTCAGTCGAGGCCCGGCGGCCCTAGCGCGGGCTCCAGCAGAGCCCTCAAAGTTTATCATACAGCACATGATGAGGTTGGATTGTGAAACAAGCAGGTGTTTTCCAGCTTTGCGTTTCACTTTCGGGGCGGGGCGGTGCCTTTCTGACCGCAGAGCTGCGCCGCCGGGTCGTCCTGGGAGCCGCCGCGCCCCGCTCCCCCCTCGCGCTCAGGGTCGGGCCCCCGGCGGGGTCGCTTGGGGCCCACGTTGGGTTGGGGCCCACGGGGGCCCCTTCGGGTGGCCAGACCGGGACCGGCCGGGGCACATTGGCCTGCTCGGCTCGGCTCGCACGCCGACCGGGCCGCTCCTGGCTCCGGCTGTCCGAGCCGAGCCGGCCCGAGACAGTGGGTGGTTGTCCTGTTGACGTAGTCCTCACGGCGCCCGTCGTCCTCTCTGTTGCAGACTACCAGTTTTCGCTCCATCCTCCCAGCATGATCGCTGCCGCCAGCCTGGCCGCGGCCCTGCACGGCCTGGAGTGGACCAAGCGCAGCGGAGTGGCGCTCAATGACCTGCTTGGCTGCCTGCAGGTCATCACCGGCATCGAGAAGGTAAGCGACGAGCCTGACCCTGCCGGGCGGGGCACCCTTGACGCTGTCCTCTGTCGCATCGAGCTAACGCGTGCTTTCCTCTCTTGTTCCAGGACTACCTCCAGACGTGCCTGAGCCAGATCGAGGGCATGGTGACGTCAATGATGCACGAGAGCAGCGGTGAGACCTGTGACGTCTCCAAGCTGGAGCAGCTCGCCGACGTGGCGGCGGAGCACGGCGCCGTCAAGGGCGCCAAGGCCGAGACCCCCACCGACGTTCAGGACATCCACTTCTGAAGGTCCTGGAGCGGCGGTCCCCCCCTTCCCACGGTCCCAGGGCAGCCCGGGGCTCGGCCGCCATCGGCGCCGCCCCTGCGCCCCCCGCCGTCCCCGACCC